TTTCTCCCAGAAAAACACGATTTCCTTATGGTAGCATGTGTCTGAATTGAATAATTATAGTATTGGAGATGGAAAGTGAGAAATATGGAATGTAGTTACACACAGTAAAACTTCCAGCTGCCCAGGCTTCTCTTTTCCATGCTAAACAATCCCCAGAAATCTCTGAGCCTCTTCAGATTATCATATCTTGGGTTTAGTCTTGATAAGGAATGAGAATTGGACTGAAAAATGGGAAATTGATTTGGTGAAATGAAAAGTGTACAAAATGAGATGTTAAAAGATGATTGTCTATTTCAAACAAGCTGCAAATAGACGTAACAGATCTGCAAGTACAATCAGTTGCACAGTAAAGCTTAGGAACTTGAATTATGGAGTTGCTTTATAATTCTTGTAAGTTAAAGAGAAATATTTTTAATGCTTTCTAGACTAACTGGAACAACTCTTCATAAAAAGAGGTTAGAAATAAGAAGTGGAGTGAGATGTGGAAAATGCCTCAAAGCTCTATCTTCTCTCAGAATGTTATGGATAAAGTTGGATGTAACTAGTTTAAATTACAGTGACATTTTCTATTGAGGTTTGAGGGACAGTTAGTGTGGATGAGAATTAGGGATTCATAAAAATAAATATTTTGCAAGATGTATGTAATCCTGAGTGTGAAGAGGGTACTGCAGAGGTGGTGTCAGAGTGGGTGACACTGCTGGTTCCTCCAGGACTGTTCCTGTCAATTGCTGACTGAAAAGTGACCTTTGCATAGAAAAAGGCAACGCCTGAAAAAGACAAAATTTAAAGGCACCTGTTATATGTGAGAGGCAGTGCTGAAGAACTGTGCAACCCTGGGGATTGGAATTATTGAACAAAAGAGCATAAAGTGCAGCTTGTCATGAGTGCTACAAAGAGCTGAGAGAGACTTTGCAAAAGTCTGGCAGCTCATTAGTTGGAAATACTGAGCATTAGGAGGAGGTGATTTGGTTTAGTTGGCTGCAGCTGAGCAATGAGACCAAATTGAACAAATAGGATCTGAGAATGTATTGGACTATTTTTATTCTGTAGAAGTAGGCAACAGTGTTGTTAGGTACTAAGAAGAGTTAATTTTAAATGGAGTATGTTTTTCTGGCTGATTAAGGTCAAAAGTAATGAATCTAATGTGGAACAAGTACAGAGAGATTACTCAAATTATTGGATGAATGGTGGCTTTGCTTATGGTGAAAAGGACTTTGTTCTGCATGGCTGAACAAGCTGGACTGTGAGACAAGATGGTTGCAGTTTGTGTTCAGAAGTGTGAAAAACTATTTGAAATAAAAACCAAAGTAATTCAAGTGTCTGTGTAAATCAAAAGTTCCGGAATCATTCAATCTGAATGCTCCATAACTTGTTTTTGATTTGTATGTATTTTGTGATAAGCTTTGAAAAAAATGTTGTAGTGGTAGAAATTTAGTTCTTTATCAAGGTGATCAGCTTTACCCATTTGCAGCAGATATTGATGTTCTCATCTGTGGTTTCTAGCAATATTTGATGGGCTCCATTACATGAAAGTTCTTTTATCAGCTTCCATTATTTTAATATTAGTAAGAATAAACTCTGTGCTTAGTAAAAGTTTGCAAAGAATAGAATCAGCAAAACTATAGTGACACTGTCTGTGGAAGTAATTTTCTCTGTGTGGTTGTGTAGAGAGAGTATTTATAAAGCTATTTGTTTATTTTGTCTCTGTTGGAAGTATTTAGAAAACCAAGCAAAATCAAATTTGGCAAGAAACCTTTCCAGATGTGATTTTTGGAAAAAAGGGTGGGAATTGACCACTCATGCACTTTCAGATTCAAGCAGTTCATTAAGTATCTGGAGACCTGATCTCTATATTTTTTGAAAGACAGCAGGTCATTAAAGAAACCAGCTCTTAGTTCTTGCAAAAACACAGGTTGCCAGTGGTTTAAGGCTCTCACTTCAAACACCTGGTGTTCTGAGAAGAAAACTGAGACCTTTCTTACAGAGCAAGAGGGTGTTGTTTGGGTTTTTTGAAGCAACTGTTACCTCCTGTTGCTCAGAAGAATATTCAGGAATGGCAACTGTTACATTTTAGAACAAAGGAATGAATTTACAAAAGTTGTGAACTGGGAAGGAAGGGTTTGTTTGTTTAATAATTAGGATTAAGATGTTTAATTCATTTCACAGGAAGCTTCATTATTGATAATGATTTTGATCCCATTAAGTTATTATTGAACAATTAACATTTCAAAATGGCTGCAAAATTTTGATTATAAAAATTTAAGCTAATAGTTGTTCCCTTCTTCTTTGATCTTCCAGCAAGTTATCTTCCTCACTTTTCTGTAATTGTCAATTCTGTTTTACAGTTGTCTTTTAGAACTGCCAGCCTAACACCAGAATCCCAGGAGCTTGACACTGTAGAAAAGAAGCTGTGAGGTTCCTGAAAGTCTCTGAAGACTGCGGTGCTCTGAAACAAGGAGCTTTAATATACGATAGTCATAGATTGTTGAGGGGAAGAGGGAAAATAGGGGGTGTATACATACAGCCAGCAGAACTTAAAAAAGCTGCTGGCAGGTAGCTCTTGCATTTTCTCCATATGAACAACTGCAGTGCACTGCAACTGAGCAGTGCTGGCTTTTTAGTCTCAGGAGGTGAAACATGGAATGTTTTAGGCAGCTGCAACTGGGATTGGTTTGTGGTTTACCCAGATGCCTTTGTGATGATGTAATGCTCAGATTCCTGTGGCTAGTGAAAGGAACTAGAAGGCTTGTGTGGTTGGATTAGGCGTGCACAGCTCTCTACAGCACATCATCTCAAATTCTAGCACAGGATGTATGAAAGTGTAGACAGATAATTGTTTTCCACAAGGGAAAACATCTGATGCTGGTGTTAAGGTTATTTTTATTCATGGAGAGTTCTCAGAGAAGACTGGTTTGAATATTGAGAGCAGAGCATTCTGTGAGGCATGAGAAGAACCTGTAAGCACCATTTGGTTTGTAGTTTAGTGATCTCTTAGAAATTGTGTCTCTGGAAGTGTTGGTATGGGTTACTGTGCACCTCAGGGATGACTGTGGGAAAACATGAAGTGCCCTCATCTGGTTTCTTAAGTGTGAGATACATAAATATATATATATATAGATATATTATGTAATAGTTAATAGTGTGTAATAGTATATTGTTCTCTTTACATTGAAATTAACGGAGGAACAAGCTGCTTTTGGTGGAAGGGATGTGGATCTTTTGCTCCATTCCTTTAATGGCAAGAGGGTGATATAACCCTATGCCCTTCTGTTTGCTTCCCAAAATTGACTTTGGATAAAAGGATGGATCAGTAAGATGTAAAGCAGGGGGAATTTCTTGGGGCTGCTGAAGTCATGCAGTAGGTACACTTAGAGTGTTTTTGCTTTGGGCTGATCTCACAAGTGATGTGTTCCTGGAATGATTATCTGAAAGCTGCGATGTCTTACAGCTGACTTTAAAGTACTAAAAGTTGAACGCCCAGTTTGTGCCAGATGATGATAAAGTGCTTTGAGAACCAATGGGTTTATCTTTGGGTTCAGTCAGTCCCAGCTACCTGGTCCTCAAAACACTTCTTTCAGCTGTGAAATTTAGATACCTCTGGAGAATCTGTGTTCTAGGCTATCTTCCTCTTGCAGCTGTATGGGTTAATTATGTAACTTTGAGATGTGAGAGCAGAAAAGTGTAGATGGGAGGTGCTTTATAAGCTAAATTCAATTGTTAAAGAAAATGTTGTTTCAGTGCTTGTCAGTGGTCACCTAGAAATTCTCATTTCCCTCTTCATGCTACTACACAGTTCAGCTAAGCATAAACCTGTGGTTTTATGTTTATTTAGGCATTACTGAATTCTTCTTGTATGAGCCTTTTTCTGTATGAACTATGTATTTTCACTTTGCTAGCATGAGTGTCATCCTTTTAAAATACAAATGTCTGAAGTCTTTTGAAGTATTAATTTTATTTTTTAAGGACCAGATTCTAAATAATCCTGTCCTGTCTTAATTTTATGACTATTACCTCTATTTATGACTTTTTCAGTTTAATCATAGAAAAGTTTGGATTGGAAGAGCTCATTAAAGGTCATACAGTCCAACCCCTCTGTAGTTGTAATGTATGTATTTTTTGTTAGCTAGTGAGACTCCATGCTGTTAGATTAGAAGGTATACTGTGGAACTTACCATCTGTGCACTGAAAGTGAGAAGCAATAGTGAACTGAATACTTAATAGTGGAGAAAAAGCAAATGTGGTGGTGTGGTCCACCTCAGTCCTACATTTGCATGTTTAGGTGAGCACTTGTGGCTTTTGTGTGACTGCTCAAATCAAGAAAGCTGGGAACAGGATGTTTTCTAGGAGTGAATGACTTTACACAACTGAGAGACGAAGAAAAAGATAAATCCTGATTGAGAAGACTGTGGCATCAGGGAGAGGGAGGAAGCATGGCTGTTCTTGCAGGTGATCCTTAGTAAGAGAAAATTGAAGAGGATTGTTTGTCACACAAACAAAAGGAAATAGTGCTCTGTGCACTGAAGAAGGTGAATGAAATCCTTGGCAGGATGAGATATGAGAAAAATATGAAAGAGGGATTCTGGGATCTAGGAGAGAGCCAATTTACAGAGAAAAGGTTAGACTAAAGGCTTACTTTTATGGGTAGTGGTGTTTGATCTATTTGCTTTTAATAAAAACAAAATCTTTGTAATGATCTTCCTTTCTGGATACTCTATTGGCAAAGAAAGAGAAATTGAGATGGCACTATTTTCTGTTGCCAAATAGGATAAAACCCTGACACATGGACAGTGTTAAATTTGTTCTTTATGTACAGCAAAATAGAAACATATCAGTGTGTGCATATAAGGGATTTAGAGCATAATTTAGACAATTATATGGAGGTAGAAAAAGGTAGCTAGATAAATAGGAATATGCAGAATTTGAAGCATTTGTTGCCTTTAAAAAACCATATTTTGCTACAAATACTGAGCAACTTGTCTTTTTATATTTCTTTTTAACAGACTCTGAAGGCAGATCCAGAAGAACTGTTTACGAAACTGGAGAGAATTGGTAAGGGGTCTTTTGGTGAAGTTTTTAAAGGAATTGACAATCGGACTCAGAAAGTTGTTGCTATAAAAATTATTGACCTAGAAGAAGCAGAAGATGAAATAGAAGACATCCAGCAAGAAATCACGGTGTTGAGTCAGTGTGACAGTCCATATGTAACTAAATATTATGGATCCTATTTAAAGGTAAGATACTCACAGATGGTGGTGATTTGATTTTACAGGTAATTCCTTTCCAGGCTGTCCAGTTGTGCCTGTTTTTATTGGTGAGGTTTGTCAAACCTCAGTCGACGAAAAATATATTTTTGTCCTTTCAACTCTAAAGAAAGAATGCGTTACTGTATTTTGTGAAGTGACAGAATCTAATAAGAAAAAATGCACGTCTATTGCTATTTCTGTACAAAAACCCCTTTAAATAACATGAGTTTGTTGAGCTCTAATATGTTTAGATTCTCTTAATATTAGTTAATTTAAATTCAGAAAATTCAACCTAAGTCTGCATTTGAATTATCAAAACACTAAAAGCAATTAGTATCAGCTGTTTTGTGAAGCTTGAAATTTTTTGTCAAGGTTTGATCCCTGATCATTCTAAGCTCTTAGGTTATTCTTCTGAGGAGACTGAACTCAGCCTTCATCTGAGTGATTTAAAAATTAAAATCTGAAAGTAAATAATTTTGCACGTTATACATAAGTGAAGCTAATAATGGAAGGGGTTTCTGTTAAATGTCTTGTGAATCTGTTTCCCTTTCCTCCCACTGCCACATTATTATTATTGTCAGGATTTGGTTTGAAGTGTGCCAGATAGTTTGCTCTTTTGTTAAGGTTTTCTTTTTTTGTAATTGTTTTTAATTGGATGGATGTAATGATTTATTGCATCTTTAAGGTAGTGGAAGTATCTGGAAGCTTTTGGTATTACTTTATTCCTTGGGCACACTTTGTTCCCGTCTCAACAGCTCTTTCTTTTATGAGAGTGAGATAAGAATCTAGATAAGAGATTGTTGTCTTGGCAGGATTTGAAGTAAGAAGTAGGCAGAAAATACTTTATTCAGTCTGCTTTTGCTTTTGTAGAAGTATTCTATTTATCTGCAAAGACATGAAGGTTCTGAAAGGGGGACCCTGCTTTCTCTCTGTATTTGTGTGATTACCAGTTGATTTCCAAAGAAAAAAGGACTTTTTCTGGATCTGGGATATGCGTTACTCAAATGAGAGACAGTTTTTCCTTTCTTCCTTGTGCTCTGAACCAGTTTGCTTGTATATCTTATCAGTGAAGGGCTTTGGTAATGGTTTTTAGACCTGATAACCTGTTACCAGAGCTGGACTTCTGTGTTAGGTATGGGTTTGATCTCAGAAGCATCAGAAGGTAGTTAATTGAGCACAGTAAATTGGATAAAGTTTTCCTCATGGCTTCTACCACTGCTTTTGAAATTACACTGTCAAGGACTGATAGTTAAATGAAGTATGGCAGCTGCACCACTGTGCCTTCCTGGTCTGTTTGCTCTAAACAGTTGTAGCCCTTCCCTGTGACATTCCAGCTGTGTGAGCTGTCCAATCATGTCTTGGTAATTGCAATAAGATCAAAGCCTTGTAACTGCACAGAGATCTCAAATTCCTGCTGCTTGTTCCCTCTACTGCCTTCATTGGTGTGCCAGCACTTCACAGAGGTATTTGTGTGTGGATCAATTGGGGATGCAAGGGAATGTCTGTGACACAGTCCTTTCCTCTTCTCCCACTTCTAGTTCAAAGCTCACTTTACCAGGTTGGCCATTCTGTTGGCACAGGCTTATGTGACCTGTTTCATGAGGTGGGTTCTATCTCTCCAATCAGCAGAGTCCTAAACCAAAAACTTGTTGCCAGCGCCAGTGGTGCAGCCAGTTTACTTTGTAAATCCATCTACTTCTCCTCTCATCATTTACCCAAAGTGGCATAATTAAGGAAAAGACTACCTGGGCCTCCAGACCCTCATCTCCAGAGCCCTGATATTGAATGTGATGGTTCCTATTACCCTTGTTGTTGTTTGTGCCTACATGAGAAACCAGCAAGGGGTGTTAGCTCTTACAGGATAAGAAACAGAATATAAGAAAAAGTCTGATGGGAAAACCTCTTATTAGTTTTAAAGATGTGTATAAATACAATAAGGCTGAAAAAGAAAATCCAGTGTTCAAATTTGAACTAAGTGAATGTTGATGTTTTTTGAAGGTGTTATGACAGTGGTTGCTTTTCCTAGTGGAAAGTGAAAGAAGATTGTAGGGCTCTGTACCCTGAATGAGTTTGGCTGGCTTGAAGGGTTAATAGGGATTCTTGTGCTCATTGTTGTGAGGGGGACCGTCTGATACCTTCTAAATCCGTTTTTTCTGTTCAGTGTAGTAGCCTGTGAGTTTTTCAGCTTGTGTCAGCATTCCAAGATACAGGACCAATAGTGGCTGTGTGTGACTCAGTTACTTTTGCGGTGAAGTACAGCTCTTTCTACGGTTAGTAGAATGTGAAGCTACTCACGTACTCATTGCTTCAGTTCTTTGTGAATGTGTGTTGTTTGTAAGACACTTGCTACTGTAGGACTTTTGGTCTTCAAAACAAAAAGCTGATTTCTTTATGCTGTTAAAAATTAATATGTGGTGGTTACTAGGTGTTCCTGATAAGTGGTAGAATCTGTGCAAAAGAAACGTTTTGCAGTTCTATTTGCTTTCTAAAATAAGAGTAAGGTCTTGTTATCAGGTAGAGATATTGTCATCACATATATATACACACACACACAAAAGGGATTATATTAATATTTAAATGAATTGGTTCATATTCTTGGCTAGAAATCAAAGTTTATTTGCTGCAGGTTTCTATTGTGTTTGGAAGCCAGGATTGCCATATGTAGTTCTAAGGGTCTGACCATGTTTTAGCTCTGTTTCTGACAGTGCAGATAATCCGTCACTGAGAATGTTCAATACATTAATTTTCCATGTGTTGAGTGATTAGGAGACAGTATTTCTTCTGTGATTGGACAGTTTAGCAATAATTACAAGAAAGATAATAATGTCTTGTCACAGAACAAACTTCTTTGAAGTAAGCAAGTAGGAAAACAATAGGATCTCAGTTTATATTGCCTGCCACTTCACCAGTTATCATTCTCTAGTCTGTGCGGTCTCATGCATGTTGACCATGTTTCTGATGGATGTTAGATGGAAAGAGTTACTGTTTGTAGGGAACTCTTAATTTGATTTTCTATTAATTATTTTGGCAGACAGATTGAAATTGTTTTTGGAATTGCTATCCTTTCTCTAAGTAGGCAGATTGTTTTGGGCTTGAGTTTTTTTGTTTATTTTTTAGTAAACCAAATAATCTGTTTTTGAGAAATCTTTATATTGTTCTTCATTCTACATTACTCCACACCTTCTTCCTTTAAGCTAGGTGATTTTGTATGCCAGTGTGTACAGGAACCTGTTGCTAGAAATTTTAGAAGGCTTATATAATACCACTGTGCTTGCCTGAGGCCTCTTGCTGTCTTGAGATGATGTGAGAAGAGCTTTTCAAGCTCTTGTTGCCTTCTACATGATATGCATGGCAGGACAGCTTGAAATAACTATTACAATTTAATGAGTTAATGAAAGTTTCTTTGTTCTAGTAACTTTTTAAAAAACACTGGTTAGTTTTTAGGTTCTACCTAGAATAGTGTGATATACCCAAAAGCCTTGTTAAATTTTCTTACTCTGCAATTCTCTGTATATCCTATTTGAATATTTTGGAAGTGTGTTTATAGCAAATTCTTCTTTTATATCCAAAAACGAAGCCATATCTGTTCATATGAAATATTATTGCTTTAGCACAATGAGTCTTAAATAAGAAGCAACTTATTCCTCCCATAAAGCGAGTCTTGCATTCCTTCCAGACTTTGTTCTGTGCATCTGTTTTTGGAGGTTTATGTGCAGTTGCTGTGATCAGAGTTCATGCAAATAGAGCAAAAGCAATAGTGAAATGGTACCAGTTTAGGTTGTCATTCTGAATATAAATTTATTTTGTGGTACACCTTTTTGTCAGAAATTAAGATGTATTTATATAAAACAGAAATGGAAATGCCTTTTTCTAAGGGCATTGCTTTTTTAAATACATCTTAATGTTCCCATTCTATTGGGAAGAAAGGTCTTTTGTCTGTAGAATATACTAAGTAACTGCAGTGTTGCTCTTCAAGTAAATTACAGTTCCATGGTTTACATGGTTGCAGATATCTACAGGGATTGCCATTCCTTGTCTGCCATGGTGTGTTAAAAACCTGTGTTAATAGTTCTTGCTGTCTTCCAAATGAAATGTTCATCTGTTCCTCTGTGATCTGATTAAATGCTCCAAGGATAGAAGAATAGTAGTTCTTTTAAGATCCTTACAGAATTAATTAAAGAAACTTCTCTGGATCTGTTTACTTCTTTAGATTTTAGCTTAACAGCATCCACATTCTTCCTTGTAATGGATTAGGGATTCTTTTTGTTTTGTTAGTTTTTAAAAAATTTCTTATAAATTTTGCTGAAATTTGCTGTCTCTTCTGAGTTTTGCGGAGTTGGAACTCTTAGGAAGTATTGCTATGCTACTTATTCTAAAACTTTTTCTGTCTAGAAACTTGTCAACTCTGCTTTTTGCATCTTATTCTGCTTCACCATTTTTTCAAGAGTTTAGCTAAATTGGGTTTTATGGCTGTTTCTCCTGTCCTTGTTGTTTGAAATTGGTTTTATTTTCAAGATTCAGGTGTCTCTCTGGTAATGTTTCTTCAGTTTTGTTAATAACTTTAAGGATGGCTTTATTATAACTTAATAGTGTTTTTATATGTCTTGATCTTGTTTTGTTATTTAGAAATATATGAGCATATTAATTTGTGTTTATATTTAAAACATTGAAGGTTAAAGACCTTTGACGTTTTTTCATATATGTATATGTACATTACACTTCAAACTTAGGTTAATAAGTGTATATGGTCAAAAGCTGAGATTGATGTGTTTATGTGTATGTATATGTTAAAAATTCTTTCATTTCTTCATCTTAGACTTCTGTACATATGTGTGTAATGGCAGAGCAGATAATTTATAAGTAGTTCCATCATCCATTGTAACTAGGTGCAAATGATATCAAACTGGTATTGACCTAGTTTTGTAGTATGTATTTTAAAAAATATTACTGTCTCTAAGCTTGTTTCTTCATCCTCCAAATATATTTTT